AACCGATCGAACTGAACATACTTCCAAGTTTTGGAGAGACTATTTTGTAAACATGTACCCTGGAGTATTCAGTCAATTGTGGAGGTCAAAAAATCATAAGGTATTCACTAAGTTTAAAGACCCTTCAATCCTCGACAAGTTAAAGGCCGAAAACCTTCCATTCACATACAAGACTGGGTTACGCTGAAATGAAGCTATTAATCAGAGATAAGCACATTGAGAAATTAGATAAGTGTACAACGGATCGTTTCATTGCACCAATCGTGCTAACTGCGAAAAAAGACAGATAAATAAAAATAGCACTTAACGCAAAAACTTTGAACGCGCAAATTTGGAAGAAGAAATACCAGATGCCCAACCTGAATGAGTTGATCGATTCGGCGGCTCAAATCATCGCTAAGCACACGCCTGGTAAGGTGTGGCTTACCTCTCTTGAACCGAAGTATGATTTTAGCGAGCAACCTTTGTCCGATATAACTAGTAGTCATTGTAATTCCAGCTTTTTGTGTGGAGAAGCAACCGGCTTGTATCGATTCAAAACCGGCTTCAATGGTTTGAAGGACATGCCCACAGAAGTTCAGACGTCGGTAGATTGCACACTTTAGGGGCTGGAAGGAGTCACTTGTTACTTAGACGATATCCTAGTGGTCACTAAAAAAGGGGTTCAGGACCAAAACAAGCTGGTCAAAAAAGTCATGTAAGGATTGGATTAAGAAGGATGGGTGTTGACACTAAGTAAATGTGAGTTCTCAGTAGTTGACAAACTTATCTGACTGGAGTATGAAATCGACGAATCCGGTTACGTACCGAAGTATTCAAAAATTGAGGCCATTAAGTCTCTTATGCCACCAAAAACGCTCAAACAACTGAGATCATTTAAGGGCAATCTAAATCATCTACAACACTTTATTTTCACAATGTAACGCTTCATATTCACATCTACAACGCTTCATTTTCACAAACGCTTCATATATCAAGGCCACATCTCCACAAGACAAGTACACGGTTTCATTTTGCTCATCGTTAAAAGCGTGCAGTAAGAAATCATTTCTGTGGGGTGAAGAACAAAACGTAGCTTTTAGAAGTATCCTAGACCTTATGGCAATTTTTCCCAAACTCTACCATTATGATAATTCAAAAGCTTCTAGATCAAGTGTGACGCAAGTCATAGTGGGCTGGGAGCATGTTTAGAGCAAAAGGTGGAACCGAATGTTCGGGCCCCCATAGCTTTTGCTTTGAGATTTCCTAATTCAGCAGAAAGTAAATACAGCCCAAGTGAGTTAGAACTTTTGGCTAGTGTCTGGGCGTGCGAACGTTTCCGCACTTACCTACTTGGAAAAAGTAATGTGATTCTCAAGGATCATAAAACACTTAATGAAGGATTATTTATGCACTTAATGAAATCTTAATAATCAAGACTTTCTCGGTGGGCGGATCGCCTCATTCCGTTCCATTACCAGGTTAAACAACCGTACCGGGAACATCTCTCGGTATTGTCAAAACACCCGACCTTTACAGCTCCCCTACCGCCATCTTATAACGAGTTATTCGTCATTGAATCAACACAGGCCTTTATTAATGCTTTAAGCTCAATCTATTTCTCTGGGCGGGCAAAAGTAGTGTCTGTGTGTAAAATTTCAGACCAACTGAATTTCAGTCAATCAAAACGTCTGGTAATGTTTCAGACGAAATTGGTCGCCTTTTACTAACAACATTGACCAATCAACATATGTCACGTCTGACCAATCAGAGACCAGTAACCGATTGATATCGTCGACACTAGAGAGCGTCGGATTAACTGACCAAGACTGTATCCAATCACAGGATAAACTGTAAGTTTTTTACAACAGTTTATAGTCGCTAGAGTTCGCTAGATCATGCTCTCGATGGCTTAATAATCACAGTTCAGTATGCAGAAGTTATGCTTCTCAAACTCGCCGTTAGAGGTCGACTGTTCATGCTCGAATTGGCTTGACCACTCACAGTCCGTTATGCAAATAAGATACGGTAAACCTCATGTTTGCAAGAGAAATCATTCTATCCGACCTTACACCTCATCGTAAAGTCTTTCAATAAATACATCTCAAACAAATATCTCTAACCTCACTAAACGCACCTGCAAGAAGGCCAGATTAGGACACTCCAAGGACCGCTTTGTGGTTGCTCGCGGACAGACTACTCCAAAAAGACTGGCTCAACTTCTAGACAAATGCAGGAGGCAAAGATTGGCCAAGAAAAACCGACAACAAGCAATGGTCAACGTGGGGGTCCATGCTATCAACGGTCACAAACCTCTCGTCACGCTGAAGAAGCGGCTTGTTGTTGGCCTCCCGGGCCTGATCGATGTCGATTTACTCGCAGAGCTCATTGGAAAGGATCAGTTTCTGGGCACAATGCGGACGGCAATCATTAACAAGGATGTGCAATCTTTCAACAAGTTGGGGGCTTTTTTGGCACGAATGTGGCCAAAGGCAGCTGTAGCGAACAATTGCATCTTGATCGACAAAAAACTTGCGATACCGGAGCCTCTCAGGAGTGCAAATCTTGCCTGCCTTCATCGATCGCATCCAGGACAGGCAGCTATGATTGGCGCAATGCAAAAGGTGGCCCTTAATGAAACAGCCAATAGTCAATATCTCTGAGAAGTGTCCGGAATGTACTTCGTTTGGCGAGAACATCAAACCTTCGAAAGCTAACTTTCGTTATGCTAAACCACGACCGCTGCTCTCAGCTCGTAATCAAGAAATTCAACTCGATTTTGCGGGCCCGTTAATTGACGAAAGGGAAGGCAAAAATGTTTCCTAGTTGCGATAACTCGTTTTTCGAAATATCTTTCGATTATGCTAACTAAGACAAGTGCGAAAAAGAAAGTCAAGCTCCTAAAGTCTTATACTTGTAAACATATCCATGGTACCAGATTTGAAAGCGCTTTAGTTTGTGAGTTTTGTAAAAGTCGACACATAAAATATATCCTAATTTAATATATTCAAAATCGACGTTACAACAAATCATTGATGACATCAGGAAAACAAATCACGCCACATTAAAAAAATCTCCGTTCGAACTTCATTTTGGACGAAAATCTAACACGGAATTTTCGTTAGCACGCGGTAATGTTGTACATTTTCGTCCTTCAGCTCAAGGATTAGAGGGGAACTTCCTCACTACAGAACAACGGACAAGCCAGGACTACAGCAGGAACAGGGCAAAAATCGTGCCATGAGGAGTCGCCAATAGTCCGACATACCTTACAAATTCAATCTCTTTGGTGTGGGCGACAGAATCGCAGAAAGTCAACCCTATAAAGCTCCGGAAAGACTCGCTAAGGCGGCTAATACCTGAAACAAACTGAAGCGCAATGTACAACCTCAGCAGGGAAAAGGGCTTCTTCGTGAATTAGCCTCCCGAAATAGTGACTTTGCAAACTCGCTAAAATCCGGGATCACGTAAGGTACACTCCGCTTTTTTGATCATGTCGGGAACCCGCCTGTGCCCGTTTTGTCGCATTCTCAGAAAAGTTCTCAATGAATTCATTCAATTCTGGAAACTCTAAATCTACTTTTTCTTTTCTATTCTATTTTTATATGTTCATTTGTTAATTTACTATTCAATTTTCACATTCAAGTTTTCCCTTCCCAATCTGAGTGAAACGTCCCAATCAAAAAAAAGTTGTGTTTGGGGGGGAGTAATTGAGATCTACGTGATCTTTTCTTGTAAATTAAGTGATCAAATATTTTTGGGACAAAAATTGTCTGTAATCAGCTATGTCTCCTTTTTTTTCTCAGAAAACTTTCACTAAAAACTCCTCTTAACTGACCTCAAATTCATTCAAGCAATGCAAAACGGGTGCAACTTAGAAAAAGCTGCAGTTTTAAAGAGGGTTCTCATGTCTTAATTTGGGTTTGAATGAAGGAAATTATCTTTTTTCTACATTGTTTGGTGCAATATGGGTCCCCACATCTCAAGCTGTCGAGCCAATGTAATTCGGTAAGCAAATGATTTTACGATAAATCGGAAAATTTTACCTCCTCTTTGATATAAAGAACCTGTATTAACACCCCTAGATTTCTGCTAGATCATTTTCTGCCCTGGCGGTTGATCATAATAATTTTTAGTTCGCGTGGGGACGATTCCTTGGGAAGACGATCGAGATATGTATCAACTAGCGGTGAAATCTGAACGAAAACAACCAAAGTGAGAACCTCCTAAATACAATAGAAAGGTTAAAACTCTTAAATCTAAAACCTATTTATTAAGTCTCAATTCCTTAAACGGACCCTTGTTGAACGGGATCCATGTTTGCTCCTTAAAAATACATCTGTCTTGAACGTACAAAGTTTGAACAAAACATATGGTGCGGTAACTTTACCAAAGATCATGCCAAAAGCGTACTAATCAATCAAATACTATATTTAATTGTAAAGTTGCCGAAAAAAAAGAATCACATTGAAAACAAGTAGTAAGTAGAACCACATTAAGTGAATGTGAACATTGAGTGAACGTGAGTGAACGTGAAAAAGAGTTAAGACGTTATAAACTCAAGAAAAAACCAGCCAATACGAAAAGTCTATTCAATGTTTTAATTAATTGATTAAATAACGCTTACTGTTTAAATCGCGCAAATTAGCTTACTGTATTTAGATTTCAAATTTAAACCATAATTATTCTGTAGCTACGCAACACTATAAATAAATACCGTGTGAAAAAGTTTTTGACCTCAGTTTTGAATAGAAATTTCCTCTCATATTATTTGAAATCTGAACTAAATGAAAAACAAATAACTCAATTGCAGTTCTATTTTTTAAGCATTCTTATTTTGGAAAAAATGCATAAGATAAATTATTATTTCTGGAAATGATTTGTTTTATGACTGAGAACAACCAATAGTAAAATTTCGTTTTGTTTTCTCCGAAGCAGTTTGAACTTCTTTATATTTCAAAAATAAATTGCTTAACTTTTTGAAAATTTTTCAATGCCAGCAACCTAGAAAACTTAGATTAATGGGAGCCGCGGCGAGTTCCAAAGTAGGCGTAATCCACTCGACCGACCCTCAGTTGTGGTGCAGTCAATGCATGCAGAAGTTCGTAGACCCCCGCAGACTTCCCTGTGGTCATTTGGTTTGTGGACCAGAATCCCCCCAACGCTGTGCAAATCGGGTTTTGGGTTTGCCTAGCAGAAAATGCCCAGTCAAAAGATGTCAAATGCCAGTTGAAGTTACAGTTCAGCTAGAAGATCTCCAGGTTCCGGATATTCGAGGAGATGAGGCTTTTTTAAGCGAAGGTTTTAAAAAATATATGAGAGATGGGTCATTCACTTCAAACTCAGGCTAGTTCAATTTGGTTTTTGCTCTAAGATGATGGTGAAATGCAGGTATAAATCCTATGTTCCCCGGGTCGAGGTCCCAGACTCATTTCCAGACTTAAAAAGTCGCGCGCTTCCTGATCCAGACCAAAACTCAATAGCAGCGCCGTTTTTTTAATGTCATTTTTATGGATTCATTAGTAATATGTCTTTGTTTCTTTTCCAAAGAAAAGCGTTTAAAGCGTATGTTTATTCAAGCTTGACAACAATTTGTTTGTTTCAGTTCTTGCAAAGTCTCTTGAAACAAATCTTAGTTAAACAGGATTGTAAACGTATGTCGAGATAAAAATTTGTTTTTTTTTCTCAAGTCGGATCATCGGCAGAAAGAGGACCGGGGCCTAGCAGACTCACAGACAACCCCAAAGTACACCACCACACACTGCCAAAATGCGACACCACATCCAGAACCACAGGTTAGATAAATTACTCCATTATTGAGGGCCAGTTACAATGAAAGCACAAGTACTGCTGAAGACGACTAGCAACACTTTTTGACAGGAAGTAAATTCGCTCAGTATCTTTTAATAAATACAAAGTAAAGTTTTAAATGGACGTTTCTAGAACTCTGTTGGGACATGGATGACATGGATGAAATGGAAGATGAGGAAGCATCGCAGAGTGTGTTTCGAAAGAGCATGGAGCAAATTTGGAATAAGAGTCAAACGACTCCCGGTCTTCCGACAGACACGGAGAAACACGCTGAAAGGGAGAAGAATAAACTGCTATGGGAGTCGGCGTCTAAGTAAGTTAACATTGATAAAAGCATTTGCTACAATGAATTAACCAAAAGTTTTTAGTAAAAAATGCTTACCTCCCCTCGTTTACCATACCCACGTGGGATTGTGCATGTAAGCGTGATTGAGGGTGTAAAAATGGAGGAGGTGGGGTTCCATCAACTGAGCGATCTCATTTGGACTAAGGAGTTTAAGTGAGAATCAGCAAAAATTGAGAAACCGAACTTAAATAATAAGAAAAAAACTTTGAACAGAGAAATTGAAAACAAGATAAAGGTTTCCTAAGCCGAAGTAAATGTCACCTTATCTAATGCAACCTCTGTTAAACAAAAACATGGTGATCAAAAAAGTGTTCTTAGGTATATCTATCTTCTTGGAACAAATATCGAGCCGAACAAACATCGCGCCCAAAAAACTAACTTCACGGTCAGTCAAATATGTGTTTTAAAAAAATGTAAAAGTAGTAACGCCTCTTTGGTAATGCGTCTCAATCTGAATTGGCAATTGGACGATAAAATTCGAAAGACTGTTTTATACAGAGGGGCAGTTCCATTGTTTAATTCAATGGCTTTTTACAAACTCGACCTTGCCTGTTTCTCGTTGTTTTGCATAAATAGTGAGTTATTGAACTAGAGACGTAACAATAGAGAAAAGGAGCAATGATAGAAAAGTTATTCAAGGAGGAGGTATGGGGGCAGGGGCGGATCTAGGATTTTCTCGAGGGGGGGGGGGGGGGCGGATTTTCAAAAAAATTTCGACGACCTTTTTTATTTTTTAGGTCGACCAAAGGCGCGCGCTCCCCCCTCAAAATTGCCTTTAGAAAATTTTTAGGGTTGGTCGGCCAAAAATTGATTTCTTAAAAAGTATCAAAGGGGGGACCCTTTGGGTCGGCAGGGGGTCGAATCCCTGAAGGATGGGGGCGTCAGCCCCCCCCCCCCCGCCCCCCCCCCTTCCTCCTAAATCCGCCCCTGTATGGGGGCGTTTTTTAGATAGAAAAATTTGAAAGTCTTAGCATGCACATTTTTGTTTTATTTTATTTTTCTTTCACATAAATTTCAACATTTCTCATTTTTTCCACTTGAAAATGATTTCTCCAAATTCATTCATATTCTTGAAACCTTGACGCATATTGAGTTTTGTTGGCGCAAACTTGTTTCATATTTTTTCCTTTCCTTGCTGTATTTGATGCTTGATCGTAAAATTACAATTAAAAATCGCATTATTCAATGCCTTGGGGTTAGACTTTCCCTCTAATTATACAATAGAATGATATATGAGTTTCTTTACAACTTAGAAAAGGGAGCCAAAAAAAATTGGGATCACTACGATAAACTAAGAATGCGGGTCAAACATTTCAATATATAGAATTTATGTAAAAAAACTGTCGAGCATATTCTTTAGGAGATTAGGAGTTCCGTACTTTTTTCGTTGCAGACACAAAGTATTTGATAGTTGATGATTGATGAAGGACCTTTAAGAAAAAAATTAGAACAAGCCTGTGATACCTTTTGTAAGACAAGCGTTTTCTGATGACAGCATCAATTTTTTCAAACAAATTCAGCCAAAATTTTTATGAAAGAAAAGTATTATGAATAGAGCCACCATAATTCAAAATGATACAAAATGATGCGTACAAAATACTTGGGTTATTATGCACTTTCAAATGTCATTTTTACAAAATGTTTTAAAGCTACCTTGATTGAATTCTTTATCTGAAATATGTGAGCAGCAAACAACATAACTTAATGAATGGCTTCATCGGATTGTTTTTTTTTAATTTACCCAATGGTTTTATCACAAGGGTATCAAAATGATAAAACCATTGTGTTAGTTTTCAGAATTACCGGAATAAAAAAAAACATTTTCGGTCATCATTTTTAATCACAGAGTCAGTTATGTACAAATGTACACAAAACTTAAGAGAAAAAAACTATTTTTATTGCATTGATTGGTTTCCTTAAGGGAACTTTATAAATATCCTTTTGTCAATATCAATTCGTAATGCTGTGTCTAACATTTATTGAATAGCCAGTAATGAGTAATCAGTTATAAAAAAGCAACCAGTTAGAAAAAATTAAAAGTTAGTTGTTCAAGCTTCAAAATTTATTAAACCATTTTATCAGTAGAATGAAATTTCATATACCAATCCCACTGACTCTAATGCTGGTTCTGTTTCAGTAAAAAAGAGCCCGAGGCGCGGTTTGACGACTACAGGTCGATGGAAAAACGCCACGCAGAGGAACTGGTGAAGCTTAATGATCTAAAGTTGAAGTTAGATCTGCAAAATCAACAATTTCAGTCTAAGCAATATACTTTTAATACTGCAAAAGACGAAGAAGTTGCTAAAAAACAAGAAGCTTTCGGAAAGAAAACAGAAGATCAAGAAAAATTGCTCAGTGAACAAGGCAGCTTAACACTTTTGCAGAAAAAAATCGAACAATTGGAAGAAGAACTGAAAAACGCAAAGCAAAAATATGAACGTGAGAAATTAGAATGTGAGTCTTCTTCTTTTTCGTATCAATTGCTAAGTCTGCCTCAAGCTCAGCAGCATCAGAGAGCTCTTGAAAACAAAATTAGTGAAATGCGAGCAGCGACTGAAGACAGCTTGATGACAAACAAACTGGCTGAATTGTCCAAGAACAAAGAAAGTGTTGTCAGCACGGCGAACTTACGAAAGGATTGTGAGTATTGTCTTGATTCTTGTTTGAGAAAACAAAACAAGCAAAATTAAGCCATTTTTGAGAAAACGAAGCTAGCAAAGTTAAGCCGAGTAAAGGCAAAAAATATGACTGATTTGGATCTGAGAGAGGAGGTAATTGATTGAGAAAAGCTGAAAACGAAATGATTTTTTACTTAGAGAGATGGTTACCTTCAACTCAAAAGTGTGGGTTAAACCAATCGGAAAAGATTTTCCTTATAATGGCGAATAACTCATCGAATCAGAATTCATTTTTTTTTCATGAAAATTATTATAAAAAAATGTATGCAATCAGAAATGAAATTCCATTTAAAGCAATTTTTTCAATTTGTTGTTTCCAATCGCAAAAATTATTCATTTTATTTAAAGCTTTAAGTTGTCCTATCCAATCAGACAAAATGTTCCTTTTTCAGGAATCAAACCTTCCAAATTAAAAAAATATATACACAAAAGAAACTGCAAAAACAAATGACCATAAAATGATTGCTGCTAAAAATAAGAAATATTGCCGATATAAGTAACAAAACGAAAAAAAAATAAAAAAACTAGTTTTTCTGCAAAATTTTTCACCAAGTCAATTGAATTTTTCTTATACAGTCAATGAAGAAGTGCTGAATTTTAAGTTGATTGTCGGGTTCTTTGATTTGATGTAATTTTGAGAGGATAGTTACGAAATGAGAAATGTTCTCTTTGAGAAGATAGTTGATAAATTTTTTGAAGCAAATTGCTGGGAATCTAATACCAAACCTGACCATGCAGGATTTTAGAATTAAATTTTTTTAAAGAAATGAGGGAACAAAGAGTTTGGCTGGGAAGCTGTGACAAATTTGGTTATCGGGTAGAAGATAAAAAGAGTCTTTGATATATTATCCTACGACTTTTTGATCAACTTCAAGCTTTCTATGTCAGGTTCTAAACGAAACTTTGTCAGGTTTAATTCAGCCGTAGGTTTAAAGCTTTCATTCACAATATGTGGATCAAAAGGAAACACTTTTATCATTACGAGGCCAAACTGTGCACTAGATAGGAGCACAATTTTGTGTCTGCATGTTCCTGGATTCCAGAGACAAGTCTTTAAACATTGAAATTTTTGTCGGATCAAAGGGAGCGTCCTTGTTGCGGAATCCGCTAACAATGCACAAAATGCTTAGTTTGGCCTCTTAATGATCGAGTAAGTTTCTCTGAAAGACATTTATTTAGTCGGAGAACTATATTTTGTACTATATAAACGTCCAAAAAATTATGAAAAAATAATAGTCAACATCCATTCCGTCAATAAAAAAATAGGAGTTTTTCTTTCTTCTTGTAAAGTAACTCATGGAGAGTGTTTTTTAATAGAGTATTATCAATTAATGATAGAAATCAAAAATAAATTATTTATAATATTGTTCATTTCCGATTGGATGTTTTCGAACAAGGATGGTTGATTTTCTTTAAGCAATAACAAAAATAAAAAATGCTTTCTGATGAAAAAAAAATCTTTTTAAGCTCAAATTTTTAAAATAATAATAAATCTACGCAAAAAAAATCTGTGACAATTAAATTTTTGGGACTTTTCCCAATTTGATGTGTACCAAGTACTAAATTTTTGTTTTTATTACTTTTTAAAGTTCCATTTTTTAGTTTCGTTCGCTGAAGTTAATTTAGAGAGTGCAGTGTTGTGACTGTTGAAACATATACATTCGCTAAATTGCTGCTCGACACCGCAAAAGTTGCCAGGCAGGAATTATTTCTTGTCCTCATTGTAAAGATTGCACTCAAAATAAGCAAGAAAAGAATTATCACAAAGTTAAGAAGCATGCTCTCTCAAGTTTTAAGCAATAAAACGTTTGCTCGTCTTGCGAAAACGATTTTCTGAGTTACTTTTCTCCAAAAAAAAATCCAAAAAAGAACATGGAGCGTAAAAACGGAAGTCACGTGATAGTATAGTGGACTTGAACAAGGTTGTGGAAGAAGAAAGATAAGATGATTAGAAACTCAGAGAGGATTTGGGAGCTTGTCAACCCTTCCTGGTTGGTATTGAGATGGAGAATGAATGAGCTTAAGTATTTAACTTTCAAATGTCAAATTAGATACCACAGTAAAAATATCAAAGAGTAACTTGAAGAAATCTTCAACAAGTTCAATTCAGCTGCAAAAATCAATAGTGCTGTTAGATTTGTTCTTCGTAATGCCCAAAAGGCAAAAAATCATTGATTTTACACACGTCAAAATAATTTTATGTATATTAATGTGTGTATGTGTTTGTGAATGTATACTTATATAAAAGTTTACATAAATAAATATATATATATATTTATATATATATATATATATATATAATGTATAAATTTTAAAATTGAGTTGCCATGAAGCCAAAAAACATACTTTGATGGCTTCTTTTTACCTTCTGCGTATTACATCATTGATTTTTACCATTTTGTTAAAATGTAGAAGCATAGTTAAAGAAAAGAAAAGGGGAATACATAGCACTGATAAATTTTTCTCAATGGACTTCTTCCGCTCCCTGAGATCTGTTACTAATTTTGGAGTTTACTTTTGATACAATCAGACAACAACCCAAACCGCAAGACGAGGTGGAAGCGTGGTCCGTGACTCATCATTTTAATCAATGACATCAATCATCGACATTCACCGAGTCGCCTAAAACAAACCAAACGCGTGCCGTCAAAACATTTGAACTAAAAAAACCTTAAGTTAAAAGTCCATACTCAATATCAGTCGGAATACGTACCAGTCAAGGGCTTCGATCCTGAATTATTCATAACGCAAACTGCAGACTCAGCAGTTAATCATCCATGGAGGCCCTGTCTGAGATAGTCACGAAATATCGGAGTACAGCAATAGAGGCATTTGTTGAAAGATACCACAGACAGTACTTGGTGTCATTAAAGGCTCAAAAAACTAGAGATATACTATTTAATCCCACTAAAAAAAACATTCTTACGTCGACAAGTTTCTGGCACAGCTTGAGTCGTTGAGTAGACCGAGTCCTACTAAAGTGTGTTCTGTTTTAGCCGAATTGCAGAATAATGCGTTCTTCAAACCGGTGGAGTGTGACAGTAGCGGAGCGGTGGGTGGGTTTTCGCTCGTTGAGTCCAAAAATAAACTGAGCAGTTCTTACCCATCGAGGTTTTTCCGAACAGGGAGTATCAATACAAACGAGTCGTGCTTTGCTGACAAGTGGAGAAAAAATTTTCCCGATGAAAGTGCGATACAGAAGTATGCAAGCAGAAATGAGTTAAATGAGCAAACCCGAGCAGCGTTTGATCACACCGCGGCTTCTCAGAAACGTGATACGCTGTCTGAAAGTCATTTAGATTGCGTTGGGTTATGGAATTCAAAGATGGTTGACAAAATATTAATTCAACAGGTTTTCACAAACGAAAACTTAATAGTGGTCAAGCTTCCTAATTGGAGAAACTTGCTCGGAGTTTGCACGAACGAAACGAATGATAAGAGATTGAAATCGACCTCGCTCAAACTGGAAACGAAAACCGTTGATTTAATTCCACCTGCTGGCAAAACCATAAAACTGGCTCTTCAAATCTACCCAAATGGAATTGGAAAAAGCTTGGGGGAATGTGTATCTGCATATGTCAAAATAATATCCAGCCCATCAAAGATGTACACATTAACTTTTTTCGTCAAAAGCAACGCCAAAAAATCGGAGAACATCTCGAAATCAATTTCCGTTGACGGAAGTTTAAACTTGGAACAGCTGGTGGGAATTCAGGAGCTTTGTAATCACAAGGAGCTGGATGGGTTTCAAAAGGAAGACCATAATCTACATGCTATCATAATCTACATGCTATTAAGCTTTTATAATGCTCACGTATGGTGTATTACTAACTACATACAACCATTCAACTGAATATTATTCATACCAATTATATTAGTTTTATAATATAAATAAAGTTTATATAAATATAATATTATCAATTACTATATAAATATGTATACCATATAAATAATTCATACCCTCAAGTTGAGCTAAATTTGCTCATTAAATATTTATTAAAGCGAAATTTTGATACACTAAAGAAGGAATATCAAATCGATGCTTCTCAAAATTTTGACTAGACAATCGAAGGATCTGTCTTTGAACTGTTTGCGAAAGCAACAAAATCAATCTCCTATATGCAGACTGAAAGAATAGTGTGACTTAGCGCAATGACTAACTGCCCTGGAAAGTAATCGATTTTAATGTATTTTCATAGTCTGCCTCCATAAAACTAAAAATTAACCGATTATAATGGTGAAAATTCATTGTGAACCAATCAAAAAGAAATCAATTTATAATCGATTAAAAGGGATGAATAATCCTTTAAAAATCAAGCAAAAGAAAAGAATTCAATGTAATCGATTATAATCTATTATAATGGACCAATAGTCGATTTTAAACCACCAACCAAAAAATCAAGTTTACCCATTATAATCAATAATAAAGGATAAGTGATCGATTATAATTCAAACGAAAAAGAAACCAATTTAACCCATTATAATATTTTATAATGGGTTGAAACTCGATTATAAGCCAAACAGAAAACACATCAAATTGTTTTATTATGATCGTTTAAAAAAGATATTAATTGCTCATAACCTTTTTTTCCCGGCGAGTAATAAAAGATTGGCAAACAACTTTCATTACGCTCAAAATTTTACCATTGCGTTTGCAAAACAGACGTTGAATATTTAAAGGTGAAATTAATATTGCTTATAAAACTGTTATTTTGTTTTCTATTTTCTATCTTTACAATTTCTTCAATTGTTTTTTTACTTTTATCGGAAAATGTTTATTTTTCGCTGCCCTAAAATATATCCCTAAAAGCATGACTAAAATTCTAAAATTTTCAGTAAAGCCTCAAAGTTTTCCATTGCACACAGAGAGGTCCTAACTAGATTTTGTAGGAAGTATTTTTGGTTCTTGGCCGACAATCTGTCGAACGCACTAAGAGTAATCAAAAATCTGATGATACTCATTAAGTGATACTCGGGGTTTCCGTTTCATCGAATATGTTACAATTTTTCCTGCATTCAAAAAAGCCTTAAATTGATAGAATACAATAATAAAGGACATTGCGAGTGAAAGTAACCACTAAAATTCTCATGAGTTAAGGCCGAAAGAGAAAGTATGAAAAACATTCATGGTGTTGGTCGGGGATTTGACCGAGGCATCCGAACATCTATTACGCAGCAAATTGTCCTCTAAATTTTTCCTCGGAGGTTGTTCTGATCGGTTTAGTGGTTCTTCGCGCTTTAGGGACACGCCATTTCCTTAAACGTAACTAAAGCATAACTGGGCAACAATGGGGCGATTCTCTGTCAGAAAAGATCAGGTGGATTTCCTGTTTGTGTTTTCTCGGAAAAAGTTATCCATCAATGCGATTGTAACAATTCGTCTTTTCAGTTGAGCTTCATATGTTTGCAGGAAGGTTATGGGTTTTGCTTGGCCGTTTTTCTTCGTGCCCGGGCTGTTGACTCTCAGAAAACTGAAATCGCTTTTGTATTTGGTAACGCAAGAAGGCGCTACTGAATTTTTTGTTCATTCGGAAGCTGGATTTGCAGGCAGCCCTGCTCGGAATCATTTTTTTAAACGCAATATAAATATAAAAGTCACACCCTGTTTTTTTTTACCACGGTGTTGCAATCGCTTCATTCCAACAAAAAACGCAAATTCTCTTCATAAATCGTGTTTGGGGAAAAAGGGAACTCACCATTCAACCCAGTGGAAATTAGTACAGGCGGAATATTGGAGGAAGGCCCTGAAGCAAGTATTTCGGCCCGGGTTGTACACTTTCTACTATTCAAGGATTCTTGTTTCAAACCGAAACTGGATGCCGATACAAATATCCTTTCAAAGAAGTCTGTGGATGACAGTATAAACAATTCGACTCATATTCTAACGAAAGTTTCGAAGCATACAAGACTCGTACGTATTTGAAAATTTATAGTCGATTTATGTCGAAACACGAACACTCCCATGGGCTTACCACACAAAGTACCAATCCAAGGAAAACTAGCAGTTTTTAATTTAAACTGCTATTTTGACTCGATTCAAATCATTTTTGTTTCAGTTCAGTCTCCTTCAATCTAGTAAAAAGTGAAATTATCTTGCCGTTTTGTAAAATACTCAACTTTTTTTGGCCTTGGAGGCCTTATTGGTTTCACAGTAGAGATTCAACGCTTAGCTGATTTAACGTTCAAACTAAGCATGCTATCATCTTGTAAGCACTTGTTGCTAAAACTGTTATTGAGGCATCTGCACTTCGCCTATCATAATCAAAAATAGTTTTTGCTCTTCATAGAGCAAGTCTGATTTGTAGGATTGGATCAGTCTGCGGGCAAAACTCCGGGCATTAGAATGTATCGTTTTGTTTGCAGAAATTGTAAGACAAGCGAATTACGTCCCATGAGGTCAAATATCAGGACAGCTTGGTTAACGTCAACGGCCCTTTATTATTATGGTTAGTTTTTGGCGGTTTTTTTAGATGACTGTTTGCCGCAGAACTGAGAAATGCTGGGTTTTTCTGCTCAACTGCATGTCTACCCGTGCTGTGCATATCGAAATTATTCCATTCATGAACACCGGTTCCTGCGTCTTCGGGGTTGAAAGATTTCATGCCCGTCATCTTATTACCTCAAGTGTTGGGTGCGTTCCTCAACAGGACCAATTCAAGATACAGAACGTCTGCTTTGTGTAAAAGACTGAAACCAGCTACCTTCTTGTTTTCGTGTGCGTTGATTCAAAAAATAAATAACTATGCTAGGTCCCCTCATCACAGTGAAATGGGCAGATGTTGGTGCGCTTTCACAATTTCATCATGTAGGTTAACGGTTGAGGTACCAGCAACCTTAGCAACGGCGGAGAAAACACTACATGTCCGTCTTATAACCTCTGTTGGTTCCGACAAGAATGAGTTCGATACGTTAGAAACCATTTTCTTTGAGATAATTACACGGTCATTTTTCCACTGATAATAGATGAAAACTTCGACTACTGGAAGAGCTATGTGAGAGCACAGACATACGTAGATGCCGGTGTGCAGCGATAAATGAAAGAACAAGCGCTTGCCGATTTGAACTGTAATTTACGAAGTGATGAATTCGTTTGTACTTTTGTGGCATTTACATTTTAGGTCGAATAACGTCATTGCGCCACGGCAAAGTTAACGTCGCTCGCTCGCTCCGCAGTCAACACGACTTATTGGGCCAGTCAGTTAGATCGCGTTCGGAACTATCACCGATTTTCAACTTTTCGCAAAATGACGAAGTTGATGCTCATATACTAGCGCAAAAATTGAAGAACGTAATTACACCAAAAAATTGAACAGCAAATGTAGAAAACTAAGACAAATTTGACATGAGGCTTGCGTATAGCCTTCCGGTGGGCTAGCTTGAAATCGATTCCCGCCTATGTTGTTTCAGTTCTGATCAAATAATTATTGTCCAAATTTGATTGAATAAAAAATTAACCGCTTCGCACGAAGCCCCAATCGATTGTTTTGTTCGACTTAGCTATTTAGTTTAGTTTATAAAACGACCCCGGCCGACCTCGATTGACGGGTAGACAAGTTCAGCCAAAAGTTTAGAATTGTTTTGCCAAAAGTGTGAACGTGCTGACACTCTTAATGTTGGTTGATGTTAAAATTAGTCTGTTTAAAATTTTAGATGTAAAGTTTTGCCTTTCTGGACCAGTGAAAGGCCGGATCTACCAACAATTAGTCAATACAGCTATGATGATAATTTTTCGAATTACAATTATTTCTACCACTCATATTCGGGTCCGGCTGTTGTAGGTTAGATCGGTTTTCGGTAGTTCAAGAAAAACCGGTTCCAAAAGTATCAATTTGCTGAGATTTTATCGGGAAATTAACAGCAAAATAAATCGATATATTTGAACGACATCTTTTAAATGAAGACAATTGTTGGTTTCAGAATATCTACAAAACATCATTTATTTGTTACATTAGTTATTCCTACGATTACCATTATTGAATTCTCGATTGCTTCAAGAAACAAAAAACTTTATAACGAGTTCCATGAATAAAAATCGATTATATTGTCACTTTATAGTCAGTCTCTATAAAATTACAAACAAATCGATTATAATACATCAAAAATGGAATATAATCCATTTTTTTATATCAAAATAATCCATTATAATCGATTATAATCCATTATATTGGATTTATTTTCTTAAATTTTTTATGCCAAAATAATCCCTTATAATCAGTTATAATCATTTATAATGGATTTTTTCGAGAGGTTAGTCACGAAAATTACAATTTTGTTCAAAGTTATCGCATTTACTGTTTATGTGTTGTTTCAGGAATTCAGTCAATTTTAGTTTCATCTTGATAGGTAAAAGTAAATGTCCACTAATTGTCAACTATGCTGCCATCTTTTTCTCAGAAAAAGCACGTGTAGTTTGTTTCCAGAGCACTGCTGTTTTGAATTCAAGTCGATGAATGTTTCATACCAATTCGCCTTGAATCTTAATGAACCCTAATACTTTTGATGCTAAACTTCTCTTCTGTACCTCTGAAACTATGATTGGACTAGAGAAGCTATAAAAAAGAAACTCAAACAAACCAAGTTTACATTTTCTAAAAGACCACAGACACACTAGCTGTTTTATCCATGATCAATTTAGCAAACATAGGATACACAGAAACACCTTTTTGAGCCGCAATTTTTTTTTCACTGTCATTTTCTGGATTGCCTAGGATTTAAAGCTTCTTTCTATGGATTCAAAGCTTTTTTTTAAAGCTGAAAGTTTTTAAGCAAAAGCTGTTTTCTAAGTTTAATTAATCAGGTCGCAAGAACTATTTACACTACTAATTACAATTATTTATAGAAATAACTTAAAAT